AATACGTCTCTCTCTGACTGCAGATCAATTACTCACTACCTACACACACATTGTTGTCACGTTGTGAGCGTCCTATTTATATACCAGAAAAACATATATCTAGTAAATGCTAGGGCATTCACGAAGGAACAAGATACTTCCAGAAAATAGGCGGCGTGACAATAGTCACGTGACTCCGCTAACGCAACAGTATTATTTCACATTACAAGAAACAATACTTTATTCGAAAATTACTTTTCTAAAAAAAAATATAAAAGAATATTGCGAAATAAATTTGAAATTGGAGAAGCAGATCAAACTACGAAAATACCAAACCTGAGAGAGAGAGACAAAAGAAAAAAATCCAACATGTCGTCTTTTTATATTTTGCACAGAAGTTGCTCTTGGATTGTTTAAATGATTCAAATAGAGTTTTTATTTTTAAAAATAGATGTATAAAAACACTCTAGTGATTATAATATGTTCGTTTCACTCGGATATAATTGTAGAATGAAAGTTGATGTTGGCTAGATATTATTTATAGAGAAAAAAAAGGTTTGTTTTTTGTACCTAACTTTCAGATTGATTGATAATCTTTTATCGGCGGTTGTAGGGCATAAAAAAACAACAACTTTACGTCGTTCCTTTTATACCTCTTAACCTCTACTAGTCCAAAAGATAGGGACTGAATATTGGGCTATCTTTTGTGTCCGACACGAGGATCCGAACCCGGATTTTAGCGTTGTAAGTTCTTAAACTTACCGTTGTTCCACCGGGTTACAAATAAACCCATAAAAATGTTTAACAACTTTTAAATAATTTAGATAATACTGACAAAAAAAAGAAATGGGTCGGTGATTTTCTAATGTCGCCTCCTTTATATACGGGAATTACTATTGTTATTTTTTAAAATATCCCAAAATATTACTTCCCAAAGTGATAAATTTATTTAAAAAAACACAAGATTACTTTTATTTTTTGATATATTTGTTATTATAATTACTCCAGCAGCCTCTCAGTTGCTTCATCAGAAAATATTTTAACAGTATTAAAACTATAGCTATTAAAGTTCCACTATTCTCATACAGTATTGTTACGTCTCTGGTCGTTTGTTAATTTCCCGTAAAAATTCTTTCCGAAAAACTTCAACGATACAAGTCCTTTCTAGTTTATTCTTTCTCAATACAACTTTGCAATACACTTAATTTCCACAGTCACTTAATTTAAATACACGTTATAATTCACAATGATTTACACACTTTACTTACGGCTTGACTCGATTATTTGTCTATGTCTTCAATCTCTCTGTCTGCTATTCCAGTCCCGATTAATTATCTCGCTTGATCTGGCGCGCTTATATACAAAAATAGAGGGCGTCTAGCAAATACTGGATTATTCGTGATGTTCCCCGATCCTTCTAGATACTCATCACGTGTTACCAGCGTCACGTGACTTCCGCTGTCGTAACAGTATTCATTGAATTTATTTCTAATTATTGAACTTTTCTTCAAAGAGTAAATAACATGTTTATCTACGATGTCATTAGGAAAGTTCTTTTTTTATGTTTAGGTCGATCAGACCTTAATTTATGGTTTCAAATAATGTTTAATATTATTTATATTTTGAACAATTTTATTGGTAAAATAATTTAGCTTTGTTTCTCTTATTAATTTAGTGAGCATGTTTCTGTAAGTTTTATCATTTTTATTCTTCTTCATTTAAACTCATATTATTACTTTAATAATTATTAAATGTGCAATTGTAAAGCCTTTAATTTTCTACACTTACATTGATTTTCGATTTATCTATGTGCACTGGAAAATACGAAAGAAATCAGAAGGATGTTGACATAACATTTGAATATTTTATAAATGATTTGAAAGAAATAATATACACATATATACCAATAAAAATGACCGTCACATTCCATTTTATCTTATAAATTAATAAATTTTCAATACCAAATTTTCTTACAACTATATTATCAAAGCATGTTTTTGAAATGTCTTTTGTTATCTATAAGAAATCCATTTGAGTTTACTTCTTCCAGATAATCATTTGTGTAATTATTTAAATCACCTATCATAATTACATATTTTTATGTATATAGTTTTGGCCCGGCATGGCCAGGTGGTTAGGGCGCTCGACTCGCACCAAACATGCTTACTCTTTCAGCCGTGAGGGCGTTATAAAGTGACGGTCAATCCCACTATTCGTTGGTAAAAGAGTAGCCCAAAGAGTTGGCGGTGGGTGGTGATGACTAGCTGCCTTCCCTCTAATCTTACACTGGTAAATTGGGGACGGATAGCGCAGATAGTCCTCGTGTAGCTTTGTGCGAAATCCATAACAAAACAAACAGTTATATAGGTTAATCTATTAGTCAACTCCTCATTGAATTCAAATGATCACATGATATCTAAATCGCCATAAAAGCAATACTCAACATTTTTATATTAAAATACTATTCAAATAAATCCGCGGTTTTAAAATATTTTCAATTTTGATTGCTTCAATACTATTATCTATGTAAAATTATATCATCAGACCTATTTTTCTTCAGATCTAAAATAGGTATCATATTATTCAATATAATAACATACTATTTTGTTTTATTTAATCCATATATCAATCAGGATTATAATATCGGGTTTCAGATCAGTTAAGTTTACTAAGAAACACCAGAAAATTATCAAGTTTCTTATGTTCCCTTGAATTAATTGTATATATTACACTAGATATAAGCTACTACTGTCCTTACCAAAAGACTTTACTTTTATGTTATCTTTATTTTACAATTAACTTATTCATATAAAATACCAGTTTCAAAATTAAACGTACCATAATTTGAGCATACATAATGTTTTTTATGCCAAATCTATCCCAAAATTTGCATAATGCTCAATTTAAATATGAAAACAAATCATAATCTACTTCTAAGCCCCCCCCCCGCCCCCAGTGGCACAGCGGTATGTCTGCGGACTTACAACGCTAGAAACCGGGTTTCGATACTCGTGGTAGGCAGAGCACAGATAACCCTTGTGTAGCTTTGTACATAATTAAAAATAAAACAAACGATTTTCTAAATTTATTTATTTTTTCTAAATAATCACGATTTTTAATTCACACTTTTTCTCAGGTATTTCATATTTTCTAATGCACACTCTAACGTCCTTAACCCAAACAAATTTGAAACCTCATTGTTTCATATGATAACTGCTAGTTCAGTTGTTGGATTATTATTATTAATATATTTTTACACCGTGATATTTCTCGTCAATATTTGTTGTTTTTAATTTACTTCTAGCTTTCCATTTCTTTATAAACCGTTATTTTATATTTCGTGATCCAAATTCTGCAATAACTAATTTTATTTTATTCTCACTTTTAACAGACACATTGTGATCTGCTTGTATGCCCGTGTTATCCATATTGATATTTATTGCATTCGAAATATTGTCAAATATTCCACTTGCACTTTCGTGCTTAATCTCAGGAACACAAAATATTTGTATTTCTAGAGGATTGACAAATCTCCTTCATCTTCCATTTTAGATCTTTAACCTCGTTTTATTTTGGAAAGTAAAATTTAACTTTGTTATTTTTTAATTTTAAATTATATTTTTATTTGTTTTGTCACCTTCTTAGTTATCTTTAAATATTCATCTAACTTATTTGAGCAAAAATTTGCACTTTTAAACTCTTCATTTTCTGTCAACATATTTTTGTTTTACTTTAGAATTTAATTCCAATATTTTTTTGAACATTTAATTGCTCACAAATAATCTGTTCCATATGTTTTTTCCATCTTGAAATAGTTTTTTTTATAACTTCTAATTCTTCATGTAGCGTATTTTTCTGACCTTCGTTTTTCTTTTTCGAATTATTTTCCCCAGAATTCTACTCTGAAAACCTTAAACAATGAAAGTTGAAGTTTTGGGTGCGTTTAATGCATTGGAACGATTCCTAAATAACAATAGTTTCTTTTAAGCATTCACCCCATAACAAATTCATTCTCCTAATTTCCACGTAAATATTGTTACGACAGCGGGGGTCATGTGACGCTAGTAACACGTCATATTCTCGAAGGTTCGTGAATCCTCGAGTGTTTACTAGATTTTCGGTATTCTTGTATATATAAGACGACCAAGAAGTGACGGCAACAATGTATTTTGAACTGCAGACAGAGAGAGACTGACTATTGAGTCGACCACGTGAGTCGTTCGCTGTGAATTATAGCGTTTGTTTTAGCGTGACTGTTGAAATTAAGTGTATTGCAAAGTTGTATTCAGAAAGATTAAACCAGTTTTATTTAAGAAAGGACTTGTATCGGTAAAGTTTCTTCGGAAATAATTTTTACGGAAAATTAACTAACGACCAGAGACGTAACAATATTAATAATATACAGTTCTACGTACTCAAGTGAGAAATAACTGTATTTACAATACGAAACAAACAACTAAATAACTTCTTACTTACAAAATATCAATTACTAACTTCAATATCTGTTATGTTTTTGTTTGTTATTTACTTACAGCTAATTTATGCAACAGTATATGTCACAAACGATATTTCTCTAACTTCAAAGATTATTTAAATTTCATACTCTCTATATTTCTTAATAAAAATAAATTAGTCAGTCTACTACCTTTATATTGTTATCAAGCTTTCCAGGTGGCAGCACTTTCTAGGCAGATGATCAATTGGACGACTTTGTACATTTACTTTATTCAGTTACCAATCTGTTAACATCAAAGCTGCGAGACCTAATAACCGGGAATTAAAAAATAATAATGTAGTCTACCTGAGCTACCACAAGGACTAAAAATATAATATTAGCTTTATATCACAGATAAATGAATTCACCAAAAAATACTTTGAACATTTTTTATTTAAAATATATTTAAAATCTGTTTATTTTCTTCTCACAGGATGCCCTCTTCTAACTTCTGTGGGATTATCTTCTGTTGTACAGCTGTGCCATCTACAGGAGTTAGAGCTAACTAACTGTCCAGGGATTTCTAAAGAACTACTCGAGTATTTACGTGTAAACCTACCAAACTGTATGCTTATTGAATAATAATGACAGTTTCACTGCTAAAGAAACGGTTGTATAAAGCTGACAGAACGTGTACCTTATATGTTGAGAACTGCGAGTTTTGACGTGAAACGGTAATGCAGGAAGATAAATTAAAGTCCACAAATGCGAACTTTTTCACATGAATTCCAGAGCAATTAAGTATCGTATTGGCAGATTATTTCAACTGAGCTCCGAGCTAACATAAAAAAAGTTATAAATGTTTCTTTTATATCTTCTCAACCCTGAAGAAGTATTTTCCATATCAGTCCAAGAGCTAGGGACTAAATACTTGTAAAACTTTTTGATTGTTTACACTATACTGGAGTTTGACTGTTACTCTTATAACACACCCACCGTCTCAAGGTCGAGCTCGGCCCAATCTTAAAAAAAAACCCGTAGAATTAAAAGTCAATTGATTGATTTTTTTTAAAGTTGTTGATCTAACTATTGGATCCTAATCACCAAAGATTTAACAACGTTCCTAAACAGAGTTTATGTAATTCATAGGATTTATTCGGTTTTTAGGACTAATGAGAAAAACGTATATACATAAAAAATAAAGCAGAAGAAAACTATTGGATTAAGATAAAATCAGTATATATAATTGAAATCATGATCCTGTCCATAAGTTAGCGGCAGAGATTAGTTCCCATAGAAACATAGCAATTACTGATGAAAGACTTAATCGGTGAGTCTAGTTAGAAGTTATAGTAACAACAAAATGTTATCAGTGAGTTAGATAAGTATCCATGAGAACATAAGGCCTGGTGGCTAGGGCGCTCGACTCGCAATCTGCGGATCGCGGGTTCGAATCACCGCTATCGAACATGCTCTCCCTTTCAGTTCTAGAGGCGTTATAATTTCACGGTCAATCCCACTATTAATTGATAAAAGAGTAGCTCAAGAGTTGGCGGTGGGTGTTGTTGTCTAGCTGCCTTTCCTCTAGTCTATCACTGCTAAATTAAGAACGCCTAGCGCAGATAGCCCTCGAGTAGCTTTGCGCGAAATTCAAAACAAACCGAAACCAAGACAACATAAGTTGGACGACTATTGTACACGTTAAACTGTCTGGGCAGTAGGTAAGGTTAGTAGCCATGACAACATCATAAGTTTTTTAGAATTACTGAACGCAAAGGAAAGTTCTACAACCAGTGAGTCAAGGCTAAAATAATGTAATATACCAGCGAGACATTACTAAAATAACAACAATATACTTTGTACTTTCTACACCATACCTTTAATTATTGTAACAACAATTTCTTTATCGAAGTTTAGAGTTTTAAACAAAACATTAACCTGATCCATTTTTGAAAGAAGAGTTAGGAATTCCACAGTTACATATTATGTTTCTTGATTTCAACAGTAAATAAGAAAAGCTATCATCATTTAAACGGGAATTTTTTATTGCCATATTCATTATTAACGAAAAAAGGCCACAATTCCTCACACACACAGTCTTCCAAATCCGTTATCAACGAGGAAGGCCGATAATATCCAAAGGTATATTTTGTTTAATAGAAAGGATTTTTTTTAAACAAGAAATTGCTTTGAAAAGTAAAAGCTCTAAATTTCCATGCTTATCAGTACAGAAAATACGTCATTGATTTTGACACAAATGAGCAGTGTGGTTCGCGATAACAGCAAAGGAACAAAAAAAAGTTATCTAAAATCACCAATAAAAACTTTTTGTAGTAAAACACACATTTCACTTCTTTACATCTAGCACTTATGAAGAGAAAATCCTAAATCACAAACACACACATACGCACTCAAAACGAAGGTCCGGCATGGCCAGGTGGTTGGGGCGCTCGACTCGCAATCTGCGGTCGCGGGTTCGAATCCCCGTCACACCAAACATGCTCGCCCTTTCAGCCGTGGGAGCGTTATAACGTGATGGTCAATCCCACTATTCGTTGGTAAAAGCGTAGTCCAAGAGTTGGCAGTGGGTGGTGATGACAAGCTGCCTTCCCTCTAGTCTTACACTGCTAAATTAGGGACGACAAGCGCAGATAGCCCTCGTGTAGTTTTGCGCGAAATCCATAACAAACAAACAAACAAAACGATACAGAAGTGAAATAAAAAAAGCATAAGCTTTTTATAAAGGCCAGTCCCATTTTCATGATGTAAAAAAGAAACCACCTTTCAAGAAAAGTTTTAGTCTCTTGGACCTTTTTTACTTTTTGTTGCCGCAGTAATGAACAATGATATTCTTAAAACCTACACTGTTAAAAAAATTCTTATTCTAAATGCACGATCCATTATTTCTCCGCGTTTGACATTTCAGAGGTTTATTCACAGGTAATTAACGTGCTGTAAAATGTGTTTAAAGAAGAGTTATAGACGCGAGTTTCCAGTGTTGTTTCTCTGTTTAGTCCGTAGAAAGTAAAGGTGTGTTGTTATGTACAAATGCTGATTAGTGTCGTGTAAAATATTTCACGTGTTTAGAGCGTGTTTTTTGAGTATCTGCGTGAGTTCATCGCAATAGTTAAAGGTGATTTTTGTAAAATCACTATTTCGGTAAAAAGGAAATAGGTGTAAATTGTTACTTCTAATGTGTGTGTTTGTATGTATGTACGTATATATTATTCACATACCTTAGGACAATCTTATTGTTGGTGAATCTTCTTTTAATGTTCAGGGACCATCCTCATGTTTACTCCAATAACAATACGATATGTGTGTAAATAGATGACAGTAAGACGTGTCCAAATTGCTAATAACCAGCTCCTTACAAGTTCTTTGAAACTTTTTTCAAATTAATTTTTCCAAATAATACTAATAGTGTAAGATATATTAATAATACTAATAAACGATCTTATAATACCACATTTGTTTATTTATCTAAAACTGTACGCTCAACGCTTCGCTTTACAGCTTCTTCAGGGTCGTTCCACCAAAACACAAACCGCAAATTGAGTTTAAGAAAAATAACAAATTTGGTCTTATAACGTCGTTCATTACTAGTATTAATATATCTTGTATACACCAACATGCACTAATAAAATAATAGTGTAAGATGTTATGATAGTATATATTTTCAGTCTTACTTTATCATGTGTTAAGACTTTGGTAGTTTCGTATGTGTTCTGTACATCTGACTCCAAATCAAGAATCTGTAAACAACGGTAGTTCAATCAGAGGTCAATTTCAGTCGATAATGCGCAGTACCGGCAAATGATTTTGGAGGTGGTACCGGGCACTGGCATAAAATGTTTTGTATAAAATATAAATCAGAATACAGTACATTTGTTAAAACACTTACACGTTGGCCAATTACAAAACGGCTTATTAAACAATCACGTGGGTATGTTTGGCGTGAGTGTGCACTCGTCCAGCGAGTATACTGAGTCCTCCTGAAATAAACGTTTCCAGACATTTACACCCGACTGTCAAGATGTCGAAATTATATGTAAGAGTAAAGATAACCTAATAACATTTAAATAAGATGCTAAGCAGGACATTGTTTGTAATAGAATCTAAAATAAACAGTCAGAACATTATGATGTATTGCAAAGTAAATACACTTTGTAAATATAATAGCTAATTGCAATAATTTATTATAAACTAAATGTTATGTATAATAACAGTTATTAAAATATTACTCTGCACTAGTTTTCCCCTTTCATTTCCATGTATATGATCTTTGAAATGAATCTGTTTATGTTATATATATATATATATATATGATCTTTGAAATTAATTTGTTTATGTTATACATACATATATATATGATCTTTGAAATGAACCTGTTTATGTTATACACACACACACACACACACACACACACACACACACATATATATATATATA